ACATACAACCAGGCAGTGGGGCTTTGGGAAGGAAAAAAAAGAGAGAGGAAGATTGGCAACAGATATTAGCTCAGGGTGAATCTTTCCCAACAAAAACAACAAAAAAATTGGACTTCTCTGCTCACTGACACTGCATAAGCCTTCTTCCTCGTTGAGGTCTCTTATTTCTAAAAATTAATATTTTCTCCTTTTCGTTTGACAGCATGAAAAGTTAGAAGAAGATCCAGTAATGGGAAAAGAGAAATGGAGCAAGAGGGTGGAGGGAAAATAGTGGAAGTGAAAATAGAGACTCAGAATGAGGCTAAGTCACTTGTCTGAAGTTACACAGCTGGTAAGGCAGCCAGGATAGGAGCCGGGCAGTCTGATTCCAGAGTCCTGCTTTTAACCTTATGCATTTAATAGTGCTTGGCATATTCTGAGCATTTAATAAACGGTAATTATTAAAATGTGAACTGAGTGGAAGTCAAATCCCAAATAATAAGTTTGGGGTTAAAGTAGATTAGGTTGTACTTTTATCATCCAGGGCCAAGTCTAAAGTTCAGGCACCCTCACTCTCCGAGAATCAGTAAACAGAAGCAAGTTCCCACAGGAGGATGCCGGGTCCCCATGGTGCCAGAAATCATTTATACAGGAGCTGCCTTTTGCAGCGTGAAACAGATTAGAGTAGGAAAGCAATCACTGGAGAAAGTCCCAGCCATATCAAGGCCTGCAGGGTGTTCCTCCACCCGACAGTGACTGCCTGAATCCAGCCATGTGACCTCCACGCTGAGGAAATGGAGGTTGAGAGAGCTGAGTGGATTTGTCCAGACCACACAGAACCCAGTGTTCTGACTCCCAGGCCAGTGTGTGTCAAGCTGGGAGGGAACAGGAAGCTAAACAAGACACACTCAGCTGGGGCATCGTTTTTGCACAATGCTAAGTAACGCTAGCGCCATATTTTATTCCGTCATCATCCCTCACCACATCCCTTTGGGGACAGCAGCCTTGTCTCCTTTGTCCCCTTCTATACCTCTGCTAAGAATTGTAAACGGTCCAGTCTAAGCCCTCAAACAACATTAGTTGATTGAGTTACACGAAAACTGTTATTAACATAAACATTTTAAGGAATAGAATGGAAAATTGACATAAATTTTTAAGGTGGGACATGGAACTTCACAGAATTTTCCCATTTCTGATAAGGGCTTTAAACTCTGTCTCCAGAAATGGAAGTTTAGAGTTCCAAGTTCACACTTTTTAGCTGTAAGGGATACTTGGATGGAAAAAAGCCCGGAAAACACTATACCATGCTATCTCTTTTCCTGTTATTTCCTTTTTTATGCATGCTCATTCTCCGTATATAATTATGAACCAGAACTGAAGAGAGGGCGTGGCCAGTGCCGGGGAAAATATCTGTATCAGTTTGTATATAGACTCAGTTTATTTCAACTTTGGATCTACACTGCCGATTTATTAGCTCTCTGTTGCACACTCTCAGAAGGATCTTCCCTGGCATCTTTTTAAACTTTTTTTTTTATTGTGGTAAAATATATGCAACATAAAATTTACAATTTTAACCATTTTTAAATGTAGAGTTCAGTGGCATTAAGTGAATTCACATTGATGTGCAACCATCACCACTATCCATCCATGGAACTCATTCATTATCCCAAACTGACGCTCTGTACCCATTCAACAACAACTCCCCATCCTCCCATCAGGTCCTGGAAACCACCATTCTATTTTCTGTCTCTATACATTTGACTATTCAAGGTCCCTCATTTAAGTGGAATCATACAGTATTTGTCCTTTTATGTTTGGCTTATTTCACTTACCATAATGTCTTCAAGGTTCATCCATGTTGTAGCATATGTCAGAATTTCATTCCTTTTTAAGGCTGAATAATATTCCATTGAATGTATATATCACATTGTCTTTATCCATTCATCCTGGTAGACACGGGTTGTTCCTACCTTTTGGCTATTGTGAACAATGCTTCTATGAACATGGGTGGGCAAATATCTGTTCAAGATCCTGCTTTCAGAAGAGGAATTGCTGGATCATAAGGTAACTCTATGCTTAATTTTTTTAAGGAACTGACCCTGGCATTTTTTTTCCTGTTATATTTCCAGAGTCAGTTCTTATCATCTATTTGAACAGTTTATTTTGTCTCTCCGACGTACTATCTACATTCATGCTAAACCACCTCTCCTTGCTTGTTCCCTCTTTCATTTACCAAGCTATTCAGAATTATGATCTTATGTGCCACTGCAGTGATTTTCCCCAAAGCACAAAAATTGGACCTCACTCCTTGGAACAAACTACCATTTTCCAAATCATAAGGTGTATTAGTTAAAACAGTAAGAAACTAACTTTTTTGGGGGGAAAAAAAGCAGTCTTTCAAATCAGTACCAAGATACCAGCCTGGTATGAATCAGGTAGGAAAAGAGGGTTCCTGATCTACAAACGTCTCCCTTAAGAGCATCTCTGCACTGCAAACTGTAGTGGAAATCAGAGCCCCTGGAGGTCACCATCTGCCACCACTGAGATGATGGAGATCTTGGACTCTCTCTTGTTAACGGGACAGCTAGAAACCACCTCTCTTCTACTTTCATCTTCCTTCTTCTTTCTTGACCCCAGAACTATGGGGCGTGCCCTGTCCCCCGCGTTGTGGTTACCTGGCATCATAGTGAGAGCTCCTGTTCTCACTGGAGGATTGAACCCCTTCAGAAGCAGAAGAATTTCAGTTGGAATACTGCATGATTTTGCAAACAGAAGCAGTGCTCTTTTCTATCTAGCCAACAAGTCTGTGTCCACTCCATCTCCCAGCTACCTCAAAATCAACCCTCGCTCCCTGCCTCCTCTGCCTTGGTTTAGAAACTCACCTGGACCACCGCAACAGGATCTGAGCTGACCTCTTGCACACTCAGGAGTTCTCCCCACCCTTCGCACAATGGGAGAAATCCAGTTCTCACCAGCTCAATGTCACTGTCACCAGAGTCTTGAAATAACGATGCTCAGAAAAGAACTTCACCACTCCACACCTGTGCTGGATGGAGCTGCAACAGAGCCGTGTCTGCTTGCTTGTAGCCTGGTCCACACTTTCTTTTCCTCTTGCTTTTTATATTTGCATGGCTCTTGTTTGTTTAGCAAATCAGAAGATATCATTAATATATGAAAGTCAGCAGCAGAGGGAAAGGAAGTTAAAGGGAATAAACTGCAAGACCAAAATCATCCCATCACCCTTTAGTCACCTGAGTCAAGGCTGGTGTGGTGCGCATTTTCTTCTCCCTCTCTTCTCTCCTTTGAGGATGGTGTTGGAAGTGATGTAGTCCAGGCACTTCTTGCCCAAGGTACTTCTTTCTTCCTTACACTTCCTAGCCACCATGGTCACCATTTGAAGAGGAGGACTCTTCAAACCTTCTGCACATCTAAATCTCAGAACACAATTGTGAAACTGCAATTGATTTCCAGATGTTTGGAGAAGCTTCCTAGTTCTTGCTTTATGATCATGTTCTGCCACCCTCACCAGCCCTCCCTACAATTTCCTCACTAAAACATCACCATCAACAACAATAAAATCAGTTGCATATATTTTTGTAAGCAGCACTAAATTCTTTTCAAGACGAGACGAAGGTATGTTAATCAAGTTAGAATTCAGGTAGTCATTTGTCCCAGTTTGCCTAGGACAGTCCCAGGTTATGCCTATTGCCCTGCATAACTTTTAGAAGAGCTCCTGGTTTCACTCTAAAAGAAAAGGAGTGGAGAAGTGCTGGAGTAGAGAGGGCCCTGGTTCCTGTGAGGAGGGCGGAGAAGTGGGAGAGGGCAAAAAAATAAATACTAAAATTAAAAACGAAGAAACAGGGTTCCAATTTAGAGGATAAATTATACGTTCACTCTAGTTAAAAATACACCTTGATTTTCCAGTAAAGTGCTTTCTAAGTGATGCTGTGCTCTTGACCACATTATTGCACTTTATTTGAATAACTCTGCAAATTTGGGAGAAAAACATTTTACCTCTATTAATTAAATGAAATAACCAAGGTTCCAAGTAGTACAGATGGTGACTGTCCGAGGTCACACACTCAGGGACAGAACCAGAGCCAGAACCCAGGACTTCTGACTTCAAGTTCAATATTGTTCAGCTGTGGACCACTCCGTGCAAATGTCTGAATAAAGGCAAACTTCCTTCTCCTGTTTGGTAATCTGCTTGAGCTTGGCCCTTGACGAATTTAGATAGGTTCTTCCTTGCCCAGAGACTGTCCTTCCACATTAAAACAAGGAAAGAGATGAAAGAAGAATTATGTAAACATGAAGAGGCTATTAGCAAATCCTGGGGCCAAATGACATACATCTTTGATTATACCACGTGTAATTACATCCGATTATTGGAATCTTACATCTAACCAAATTAAGATGTCTCAGTTAACACCCGGAAGGAAGGAAGGAAGGAGGAAGGCAGGCAGAGAAGATCAACAATGAACGCCCACCTTTACAAAGAATATATAAATAGGCTCCGGCCCAGTCTTATAGATATATTCTCCCTATGGTTACATGCTAATCTTTTTTTTTTAAACCTAAAACCAATAAGATTGTACCCTCCTTGGATAAGTGGCAACGAGACAACAGGGGGAAACCCAAGATCCTTAAGGACAGGCACAGCGGTTGGCAAGCTCTCCAGAATATCCCAAAAGAGCTGAATGCGGCGCCACACCAATCAATAACGGCACACCCTCCTGACCTCCTGACGGCTTGTCCCAAGAGGAGGCCACGGGACCCGCGGGCGTCCCTCCCACTCTGCAGTGACAGAAAGGGTCCAGTGTGCCTTGGGAAGGATGACTCCAAACCCCCGGCCAGTCTAGCCGGACCGCAGCAGAGGGCTGGACGCCTTCGGGCCAGCTGTGGGCACCGCAGCCTGACCAGAGAGGCGGCCGCCTCCCCCTGCGCAGGAGGCTCGGGGAGCTGTAGGTACGAGGGCAGCAGAGGACGAGCGCGAACCGCGTGGGGGGGACCGCGCGCGCATGCGCCCTGCCGCCGCCGCCGCGGCCGGAAGAGCCGAGCAGCCCAGCAGCTGCTGTCGGCGCCAGACGCCGCGGCGGCCGCGGAGAGAGCGCTGGCCGCAGGATGCGGCCCCTGGACGGTACCGGGGCCGCCGAGCTGCCGGAGGCCGGGCTCGCGCTGACGGACGATGCGCCCCCGGGCGCGAGCGAGGAGCCTGCGGCCGCCGAGGCAGCGGAGACGGCCGCTCCCGGCAGGTGCTGGCTGTGCCGCTCCTCGCCGTGCGGCTCGTGCGCGCAGCCGGGTGAGTGCGGGGTGCGGACCCGGGCGCGGGTCTCACTCGTGGGGGGCCCGGCGGGCGCCAGCGGGCGGGGTCCCCGCAGCTGCGGCCGGGGGCGCAGTGCTGGCCGCGCCCTTATCCCCACCCTGCCCAGGGCTCGGGAAAACCCTCGAGCTGTCACCTGGGGGGGCTGCGAAGCAGAAGCCCCCTGCGCCCCTGCCGGCGCAAAGACCGGAGAAGTTTCTGATTGTGCTTGGAAACCATTTGGGATTCGAAAACTGTTCCTATAATTAAAGTGTTGCCGGCAGGGCCATGGAGTCAGGTTGCAGTTCCGTGCGCCCTGCTGGAGGTCGGAGGTTGGGGGCTAACCATGAAAACGGATCTCGCTGTGAACTGTGTCCCCCAAAGAGGAAGTTGAAAAGCATCCAGTATAGAAAATGTTTGTCCCAGAGTCTTAGAATCTTGGGAAGGCAGAGTTGAGTGGGACCACTGGTTCTGAAACTTTTTCGGTTGGGAGGACTTTTTTTTGCAACTGATGCAAAACCAAACAGAGGCAGGAACTTACTTACATGGTTAAGAGGTTCACTGACCCATCCCCAAAGCCAAGGACCTTGTGTGGAAAACCTTTGATCTTGTTCAACCTCTTCTTTCCACAAATGAGGAAAGTGAGGCCCAGGGAGATGAGGGCTTTGGGGGTTTTTTGTTTGTTTTATTTTCCCCAAGAATTGGCATGTGTGGGCGAGACAGGGCGCGGGTCCAGGCAGCACCAGGGTTAGGATCTCAGCTTGCCAGAGACCCAGCCCAAGGCCTTTTCTACTGGCCACAAACACATTCCTCCTTGAACTTCACCACCCACTTGGAGCAGCTTTCTGGAAGAAGAAGGAAATAGGCAGATCTCCTTTCAAGACGAAGTTACACAGTCTGCACCACCTCATCCTCTGGGTCATCTCCTCTAAGTGTGTCCTGGCATTTCTGTGCCTCCTACCTCACCCCACTTTTCCCTCCTCCCTGTATGCACTTTCTCCAATTCAGAGAGCTAAACCCCAGGAAGATGACTTTTGCCCCATTTTTCTCCTAAATGCTAACAATCATTTATGCATAAGCTAGAGCCTCTTGAGCAGGGGTTACCCCAAGCTGGGTTGCAGCCTTTGAAGAGGTCAGTTTCTCACCTTATCACCCTATGGCTGAATGTCATTCTAGTGGAATGCCGAATCAGTCCTTACAGACTCTTAAATGTTTCCCCTGTTTGTGAACTGAAGAGGAATATATGCTCAGGTAGCATGTGGCAAAATGACAAGCCTGTATAAACAGTTTGCACCTAAGAATCTTGTGGGGTCTTTTCACTTCAAAGACAGTTGCTAACAATAAGACTTAGTAATAGTTATTGTAAGGTGACTAGATAATATCCCCCAAACAGGATTGCCATAGAAACACTTTAAACCACTGTACTGTTGCCACTGAACTTTGTGACAGTATCATTTTAGCCTCTTGATCCAACTGGTTATCTCAGCAAAGCTCACTTTCAAGTTCAGGTTGAAACTGTGACCCTTTTTTCTTACATTCTTGGATAACCTTCACAGACAGCATACAGCTATCCTAAGACATCTATTTCTTTTCTTGAGGGACAGTGTGAATCTTAGACTGAAGCAAGGAGAAGACGTTGTCTTCGGTCTGTGGCTCACATCCCCCTGAGCGTGCGAGTTCTCTAGCGTAGCAGTGGTTCTCAAACTAGTGGAGCTTTTTACAGTTAAAGATCCTGTTTCCATGGGTTTAGGGTAGGGCTTGGGAATTGAAGTTTAACAAGTTACTCAGTTGATTCTAATTCCCAACCAGGCTGTGAATCACCAGTTTAAAGCAGAGGAGAGAGAAACTGAGCAACTTTTCAGTTGTCTGCTAACTCAGGAAATGGCACTGTGGCCACTTAATTTGAATTATTTAGACTTGCCCAATTATTAGATATGCTTGTGGTGGGATATGAACATGGAAGCATATTACATAAGCAAATGCCTCTTTGGATTATGCTACTGTCTTGCTCATCTCCATTGACAGAAGTGAAGTTATTATTCAGTAAGAGACTGAGCTTTGCCTGAGTGGAATCAGTGCTCACCCTCCTTAACAAATAATCAGAGTCAGCCGGGCCCTGTAACAGCTGTTCTGTCCCAATCAGGAAGCTCGGGCCTTAAGTGTTTATAAGCAAGAAAATATGTGAGTGTATGTGTTTTAAGGAAAAAGATCATCAGAGCCAAGGGTGTAAAATTAGTCTTAAAAGAGTTAAAATATCATGTTAAGTTAAAATGTTCTTGGAGAAAAATTTAAAAGCTAAGGTTGGAGGAGATCCTTAAAATATAGACAAGGGAGATGTTTTCTGTCCTTGATCTTCCCGTTCTGTCTGAGGGTGTAGGTTCTATGTATGGGTTGGGTTTCTTTTAAGACAAACTATTTTATTTGGACCTGAATTCTGAAATTTCAGAAGCTGAACTCAGGCTGACCACAGCCAAGACATGTATTTTGTGGTGCTTAACTTGGAAGTCTTGTAAAGCTTCTTTCTCATGGGCTGAGTGTTTGAGTACTGAGTGTACAGTATGTACAGTTTGTTTCTGCTGTATCTCAGCACACAGTCCAGAACAGACTGTGGAGGAGTCTGGCACATATATAACCTATAACATGAGGACTGCCAGCTTCAAATTATTCTCTTCAGTTGCACATCTAGACCAGGAAGAGGTGGAGGCCTATGACCAGAGTGGCATCTTTTACTACAAAGGTCAGGCTGCAGAATGTCCCTAGAAAGACTACATCACCACACTTTGGTCCCAATTTGCAAAGGGTCACTTGTGGGCAAAGGTACCTAGCTAACATGAGGATGTTGAAATGTATTACCTGGTGCTTGCACTTATCAGAGAAGGGCATTTAAAAAAAAAAATTATTGTGCAATACTTTTCAATAGGTGAATAACACATTGTAAATTCCTAGATTGGAATGATAATGCTAATTTTACTACAAATTGCATGTGTCCACACATCCTTCAGCTCTGCTGTGCTCTTAGCTGATGAGTGCCAGTAGTGTTTCCTTCTTATTCTCTCATTGTTTTTGTGTTAGTTTCAAAAGAGAACTGGGGCCAGCCCCGTGGCCGAGTGGTTAAGTTCGCACGCTCCGCTTCAGCGGCCTGGGGTTTCACCAGTTCGGATCCTGGGCACGGACATGGCACCACTCACCAAGCCATGCTGAGGTGGCATCCCACATGCCACAACTACAAGGACCCACAACTAAAAATACACAACTATGTACCCGGGGGGCTTTGGGGAGAAAAAGGAAAAATAAAATCTTAAAAATATATATATGTGTGACCTCAATGTGTGGCCTTTTAGGGAGTTCTCTGCTTACCCTGCTCTATTTTGCTCCCCTCTGAATGCCAGGGGATGAGATGGAAAGCAGGTTCCACTCCTGTCTTAGGCGTCTAAGACAGAGGAAGTGGCTGCTCATACAGATTGGCATTAATAGACTGAATACTTGATGCCCTGGAGAAAGCAGAAGTTTCTTAGTTCAGACCAAGCCAAGAAGTTGGTATTAGATGGCAATTCTAATACAAAACTTAAAAAAACACACACACACACACTTTGGGGTTAGAGGAGTAGATAACCCAGCCCCTGCCCTCAAAGAGGTTTATGCTCTAAATGGGAGATAAGTCATAAACCATGAAAAGTTCACTAAAGATTTGCTTAATGGTTCAAAATAACAAAACAGAGAGCCTTCCCAGATTATGTTGTTGCCTGTGTTGTTAGACTCTGCATCTCTCCATGAAGTTCTTTCATATTCTTTCATTCAGCAAATATTTATTCAGGGTGTGCCGGGTATGCACAAGACAGCTGAGGTCCCAGCCCTGGGGGAGCTCACAGGCTTGTGGGAAAAGGCAAATAATCAACAAGTAGCCATATAATACAGTTATAAACTGTTTTCCAGAAAAGAACACTCTTCATAAAGCCCAGTTCACCAGTGAGATGCTGTAAGATAGCATTTGGAAGTACTTTTCTCCAGCCATCTTGACAAGTGTTTCTTAACGCTTTCTCTCACCGTCTTGGCAAGCTTTTTCCTTCTTTTTGACTTATAAGTGAGGGATGATTTTTCAGTGAGCCAAAGGAAATCCATTTTATAGGGTGAAACTGCATTTAGAAAAACACAGGCTTACATTGTTGCCTTTGACCGTGGTAGTTCATTCTTGGTGGGGAAAATGTTTCCGGTCCAGAGAATGGATATGCTGAGGAGGTAGTATTTGTAGACCATTAGCCATTGACACTGTTCCGTTTTCCTCTATTTCTAAGTGAAAATGAGAAAACATACACTTGGAAGTGAGGACTAACTAGAATTTAATCTTTTTCAGAAGCCAAGAAGAAAGCACCCTGTCCTGGACTTGGCTTGTTTTACACATTATTTTCTGCCTTCCTTTTCGCGTTGGCCTCTTCACTGGTTAAAAAAGTGGAAGACGTCCATGCTGTAGAAATTAGTGCATTCCGATGTGTGTTCCAAATGATAGTTGTTATCCCTTGCTTAATATACAGAAAGTAAGTATTTCTTACCTGCAAAGGAGAAGGTATTAATAAATGTTTGTAAATCTTTTGACCTGCTTAAATCATTTACTCTATAGTATCTGCTTTATGCTTCTCATAGATTTACCAGTTCCTACCCTCTCTGGCTCTGAGTAATGAAGTCACAAGGATCCACCACAGAAGATTCTCTCATAAGCACAAACTGCATGCCCAACAAAGAGGGAGAAAGAGATTCAGTTATTCTGCACCCCTCATTGTGAGAACAAAGCTATCCTTGTATAATTCCCGCCATCTTGTACCACCATCCCTTCTTTCCTTTGGCATAACTAGTATTTGGAAGAAAAAAGTAAATGAGCGGAAGTGGTCGTGTCTCTGAGTGTCAGAAGTTTAAGTCGAACAGGCTGCTCTCTTACCAGGGCAGACAGAAGGTCACAGTAATAATACTTAGCTCTTCCCCCTGGGGCGCAGTGGGAAAGGGGAAAGGTATCTCGAGCAAGCCCTTTTTAACTACTTTCATGTCAGCATCCTCATCTGTAATGTGGAAGGAATGGTATTCTTTGTCCTCCAATCTGCATGGTGGTTGCAAGGGTCAAAATTTATTATAGGGGAGAGCACTTTGTATATGAAAGTATATGAAAACTATCTTTATTCCTCATCCTTACTGTTCTCTCCCCACCAAGCCCCTCTTCCCCTTCCATATGGAAGCCCCTCACTCACCCTCCCCAGGTTAAAATTATGCCTCCTCCACACTGTTAGAACCTTTACACACCCCTGTGTGCTTAGAACCCCAGGAGGACAGACCGCTTGGGTTCCTGGTGGCTGCCTGGCTCTTTCTCTCCTTGGGCAAAGATGCTTAAACTCCAAATTAAAAGCTTCAGTCACTTGCCACTGAAGTCTCCTTATATCTGCAATGTGGGACAGATTCATTAGAATAGTTTCGCTCCATATTGCAAGGATTTGGTGAAAATCTGCTAAGGTCAGTATTGTCAGAAATTCCTGTGTCAGTGTGGACAAGTCACAGTATTTTAGGAAATGATGGGAAGACTTCAAAAATTTCTAAGGTTGGCAACAGACTACTGATGCTACTAACAGAGGCATCTTCTCCATTTTGGAATAAAAGTATTGACGGGAAGCCACTAGAAGAATTTTCTTAAATTCTTGGCACTAATCTGCTTTGATCCATTTTATGGTTCACTATCAAGGAAGACTCTTAGCTTCTCAAAATATGGGCCAAAGGTGACCACACTTTCATTTCTAACTCCAGAGACCCAGGGGTCCCCATGTCAAGCCAGATGCTGCCCTAAAGATGTTCAGCCCTGATACGGATCAGCGAGATACGCCTAGTCAGGAACTTACACAGTACTCTGCTTAGTAAATATTTAATTGAAAAAATTTGAGTAGCAGTTATTATACTTACCTGAATGCTACAGGTTCTTTTTTGGTGTCTTTAAACTCTTTTCCTGCTGAGAACAATGAAAAAGTTGCCTCGCATTCGATGGCTAAAATAAATTTTAGCATTGCTTCAGCTGTTACAGAAAAACTTCTAAGACTGGGAAAGCACACTAGCCAGGACTAAGTTTTCTTATATGGGGCAGCTAAATCTTGAAATTGTATTTATTATAAAAATCACACACCTTCATTGTAGAAAATTTGGGGAAAATAAACATAAAGAAGGAAAGTTACCTATGAGTCCATCTAATAAGGTATAACCACAAGAACATTTCAGTAGATTTTCCTTTTTGGTTTTTTTGAAAGCATATATATATATATGTATATGGGAAATATCTATATTTACTGAATTATAATTATACTATTTATGTAGTTCTCTTCTATTTTTGCTTATATTGTGAACATTTAAATGTCATTAGCTATGCTTCGAAAACATTTTAAGAGGCGTATAATAGTTGTGGACATTATCATAATTAGTTTACTCTATGCCCTTATTTTTTGGTAGGACTTTTAAAATAATGTTTAATTAAAAATTGTAATTTAGGGGCCTGCCCCGTGGCTGAGTGGTTAAGTTCGTGCTCTCTGCTTCAGTTGCCGAGGCTTCACCGGTTCAGATCCTGGGTGCAGACATGTCACTGATTGTCAGGCCACACTGAAGCGCCATCCCACATGCCACAACTAGAAGGACCCACAACTGAAATATACAACTATGTACTGAGGGGATTTGGGGAGAAAAAGGAAAAAAAAAAAACAAAGGAGATTGGCAACAGTTGCTAGCTCAGGTGCCAATCTTTAAAAAAAAAATTGTAATTTAAAAACAGATACCAAGTTCATTTAATATACATTCCTCCGTTTGAATTTACAGAAGTGGGTTTCTAGGCCCCAAAGGTCAACGCATCTTCCTGGTTCTCAGAGGGTTCCTTGGTTCTGCCTCCATGATGTTTGCATACTACGCTTTCCAGACGACGTCCCTCGCTGACGCCACGGTTATCTCGTTTACCTGTCCAGTGTTTACGTCCATATTCGCTTGTATATTTCTCAAGGAAAAATACAGCCCTTGGGATGCTCTCTTCACCGCCTTCACAATCGTCGGAGTGATCTTGATCGTGAGGCCACCATTTTTGTTTGGTTCCGACACTATGGAGATAAATGAAAGCTATTCGGTTCACCTGAAGGGCACGTTCGCGGCAATCGGACATGCCGTGTTTGCTGCCATGACTCTGGTTATCCTAAGAAAAATGGGGAAATCTGTGGACTACTTTTTGAGCATTTGGTATTATGTAGCACTTGGCCTCATCGAGGGTATCATCGTCCTCTTTATATTAGGAGAATGGAGTCTGCCATACTGTGGGTTGGACAGGCTATATCTCATACTAATTGGGCTGTTCGGTTTGGGGGGTCAGGTGTTTCTCACGAAAGGAATTCAAATAGAAAAAGCAGGGCCAGTAGCAATAATGAGGACTATGGATGTGGTCTTTGCTTTTATCTTTCAGATTATTTTCTTTAACGATGTGCCAACGTGGTGGACGGTGGGTGGCGCTCTCTGCGTAGTAGCCAGTAGTACCGGAGCGGCCATTCGTAAATGGTGCCAGAGTTCCAAATGAAGCATCATTGCCAAAATGTCTCTTTTTTTCAAGGTCACCGTCACCCCGTTCAGACACACCACACACGCACACACCTGGAAAATCTGCATTACTTCATTGATATTAAATAAATTTCATAATTAAAGTACCATTTTTGAATTTAGTATGTCTTTAATTAGCTAAGACTAGCCAGTCAGTTGGTCTAGCAATTATTTTTTCAGCAATTATATTTTGTTTTTTTTTTTTTGTTGAGGTGGTGTTGGTAAGAGGACAAATCACTAGAGAAAAACTACAAGATTGTTTATGACTCTAGTATAAATATAGGTAGTTTCTTAAAGTGTATTTTTTGGTACCGATGGGAGTTAGGTGGCGAGGAAATTTTAGATGTGTTTTTAGCAGTATAGAGGTAAGAAACTTAGTGATAATAATGCTGCTATAATTAGTATTATGTTGATAATTCATTTGAAACATAATTCCATGTAGGAGGCCAAAGCTGAAACTTGGAATTGGTGCCTCCTTAGTGGTGTTAATAATGCAAATGAATTAGCCTTATTTTCAAGGCTTTTATAAATGGTTATCATTCTTTTAACCCATATTTGTGCCTTTTCATTTTAATGCTGGAATTTTTCTATGTAAACTTTTAAAAAAGTCTTTAAATCACCAAATTTGGCTAATAGTTTTCTCTTTCAGTGTCATTAGCAACTGTAGCTATCATTCTGTAATTTTAATTGTCCTCTGTTTTTTGGAAATTGCACCAAATTTTTGCTAACTTTCTAAGATTTCAGGTCTTTAAATCACAAGAGGGATTCTTGGCATGGCCAATGTGCACACTTTCATCCTGAAGTGTTTTCCCCTTCACTAGAAATGTGCTTTTCTATAAATTCTCTTTGAATTTATAGTGTGATGCCAAATAAAATTTTCTCAGGATTTCATTAGGTTGAGCTATATGAAATTGCCGAGATTTTACCTTTTTAACTTAAAAAAACCAAAGTTTCTTATGGTTTACCCTAATAGATACCTCCTTTACCCTCTAAACCAAATACTTAGAGGACTTTGGAATATATATTTTGAATACAACTTTTTAAAATACAGTAATCCTATTAAACTTATTTTTATAGTCTTTTTCCCTTTGAAGTTATATGTAATAATGCTTCATATCATATGTTAAATTTAAAGACCCATGAGTCCACGGTTGATTGGCTTTTGTAGTTTCTTGAATAGAAAAAAAAAATCACAGTTAAATTCTAGTATAGTAAGCATATTATACAGTAAGATATTAAACGTCACTGCTGCACCGTTATACTAACATGATGAATGCAGACAACATATTTTATATCTGGAACTTCATCAGGCCAGTACTCTGCAGTTAAAGAGAGAATTTAATATTTAGAAAAGCTTGGGAGGTTGCTCAGGAAGCAGGGTGTAGATGCAAATGATTCTTTGTTACAATGAACCCTTTATTGGTGAGGCTTTGATGGTCTCCAGCTCTTACTGTGTCAGACCTCGCATCTATTATTATCTTAAGCCTGCGAATTTGAAAGATTATAGACTCTCTCCCACCCTTTCATCACAATTCTTCCAAAGTAAGAAAGATCTTGGCTTCTGAGGTTTATGCCTTGGTGAGAAAGGATCTTTTCCAATAGTTCCAAGAGAAAATTTTTGACTTGCTGATCTTCCCAAATGCTTCCCACTTGACAAATCCTAAATGAAGTCTACGTAGGGGAGTCACACTATCATTATAACTTTAGCCTAATCCACAACATGGGAGTTAGAGTTGCAAAAGCATCATTTTGCGAGTATCTTAGATAATTACAGAATCGGAGCATTTAGAGTTCAAAGGTTAGAAATCCTCTTGTAGGAGCCATGCTCCACAGATAGGGCTGTAAAGGAGGGGACCTGCCCAAAATGGGTTTCTATGGCCTTCTCCCCTCCCTTAGTTCCATGATAAAGTATGGAAAGCCAACCACCGCTTGAGCTACAGAAGGTAAATTAACTCTCAGGGAACCCTGTCCTGGTTCTTCACCTTGCACAATAAAAGAACCTATGGGACTTTGAAAGTTAAATCCCTTTGGGCCTGTACACTAGAGACGTGTTTTATTTCAATGGTGTGGTTTAAGTACTTGAATGTCACAATATCTGACCAAGGTTGGAGAAAATGTTTCTTCTGCCAACTTTTACAAGGCACGATTCTTAAACACTTTTATAATGTCCAAGTATATACAAGGATATGTATTGTAACAATTATGGGTGTGTTTATTTTACAAAAATTATAGTTTATCTTGAAAAGGAAAATATTTTCATGAATTGTTTTTATAAGTACTAATAAAATTAATATGAAAGAAAGCTATATTTTGGTTTTTATGATTATAGCAAATGTACTAGCTAATATAACTTATTTCCTTTTTCAATCATGTGTTTCAAAATTCATTTCATAAAGGAGATTGGCCTCCAGCCATTTAATTGTGATGTAACCTGAAGTTTCAAACTGTTTATCTGTCCCTCTGATACTCTCACATCTACTCCAATATCTCTGAAATAAAGGACCTAATCTTTTGTTCCAGTGAGGCCTTCATTGTTCTAGACCCTTCCTTGGAGCAGCTTTGAATGCTGTACTTTCTGTTCTCATAGCTAATCTGTTACTAAGTCCTGGTGTGTCTATCTTCTTATTGTCTTGTGGATTCATTCTTTCCTCACTGTTTCCACTGCTGCCATCTTAGTCTGAGACTTACCACCTCAGACCTGAGTTACCACAATGGTATCCTAATTGGGTTACCTGCTTCTAGACTCTTCCACTCAGATCCTTGTGAGACTAATCTTCCTGAAGCCCTGCTTTCATTGTTACTCTGGTTGTCATGAAACCATGATGATGCCTTTGCATGCCACATCACATCCAAATGATTCCTCTGGCTCTATTCCCACTTATCCAGCCTGATTTCCCATGTCCCAACACAAATTTGATACTCGGACCAATCTTCCCACCAACTCCCACATGTGCCAAGAGATTCCTGCCTCTGTGTTTTCCCTGCTTTCTTTGCCTTCTCTTTTCCCTCTAAAGCCTCTTAGCCTCCGATGGCTCAGCTTGGGCTCTTTGTTTCTTCCACTATCTCCAGCTTCTCCCACCCACACTGGTCTACCTTGGAAGAGTGGATAAAGCATGGATTAGGATCTGATTGTGGTTTTATCTCTGTTCAGCTGGGCAAGTCACTTAACATACCTGAGCCTGTTTCCCTCGTTTATTAAATAGGATCATATTACTTGCCCAACCCACATTACAAGTGAGTGCCATAGAAGGACTTATAGACATAAAGGAGAACAAAAACACTAAGTATTGAACTATGGGTAATACTGTAGAGTTGAGCATTTACTCTCCCGCTCTTCAAAATGATGCCTACCCCAGGGTCTTCACTCCTAAGCAGTCTCACCAAGAACTGTAGGAAGTCTTCTAGATTACAGACCTCATTTGGCTCCCTTCTGCTAGCACAAAATTCTACTGTCGGACAGCTCATTTCCTGGCTGATCTGCCCGTGTAGGGCTGCCAAGGGTCACCAGTCTTTTTATCATATGCTTAGGTATTGCCACCTTTACAGTTCTGGATTTGGCTCTGGTCTTCTGTGAGTATTATGCTTGGCTCTGGCTGGGGGCATGAGCCTGATTCTCTGTGTGTTTCACATGCACCCTTCTCTATACTCAGCATAGCTCTTCTAGCCTCTTATATGTTCACCCAATAAGCATAGTTAGTCTCTTGAGAGTAATCTAGTGGGAAGAGAGCCAGATGTCCTCGATAGCATGCTGGCCTCTGGTCTAGGTGCATAGAGCCATGGTCAGTACTGAGCGTTAGAATTTGGTTATTAGGATATAAGTTGGGCATGTGAAACCTGGGCACTATCCCAAGCACACTGTTATATGGCCCCTTGGTCCCTTACATCAAATCTAATACAGCTACCATATTCACTTAGAATTCTGCAAGATGCCCTATCAGGGGCTCTCTGTGATCCACAAAGAAAGACTCATCCCCTTTTAGCCTATTTGAACACTAGGTTCGGTGCTGGACTTGCAAAACAAAATCAGAAAACCCCTGAAGCTTGGCACTACCCATCATTTCCTGGAAACGGGATGGGGTTTATAGGTGTCCAGGCAGGGCAGGAAATGTACCATAGAAGTCTAGTCCACAGGAAAATGTTCCACTGGATTCCCCAAGGTACCATGCCAGCTGTCATCTAGAAAGTCAGGTTTGCAACAATTTAAAGCAATGCTATTCTTCTCACTAATTTTGAAATAGTTATTTTTTCATAAGAGTGTTATTTATGTTAACATATAAGAGAATCATTTTTAATAAATATTTTTAATTTTTTTTGGTTTTGCTTTCAAATATGGTAAATATCTATATATTTAGCCCATATAAACAGAAGCTCTTTGGAGTCCTCAATAATATTTAAGAGAGTAAAGGGCTACAAAACCAGGACGTTTCAGAACTGCAGATTTAATAAATAGAGTTATCAAATTTGCAACCTTAAAAAACAAGAGTAAACCCATCATCAAATCTCCTAATTTCTTCATAAGGTTGTGACAGTCTGAAATGCAGCTAAATAACAGCTTGTAAATTAGAAACATCTTTAATGTGGTGTTCCATTTTAGAATTATGAAGTTAAACAATTCTAAATCCATATAAGAGATCCAAATTGTCTACTCAAGAGGGAGCAAAAGAGCACCATGCAATCCAATTGGCCCCTGGTCATAGGTCATACCAAATTGTCTCTGTCACTTCCCATATAAGTGATTTGGTTCCTTTGTGTGTGCATTTTGGAGAAGTCAGAAGACTTTGATGCTTTGCAGGTGAGTATGTGCGTTGGTACAACTTCTATAAAGAGCAATTTGGCAGCATCTATCAATTTACAAATGCACATATTTTTTCATCCAGAAATTCCAATTCCATTTCAAGAATTTATCTTATAGATATACTTCCTATTGCAAAATGGTATGTATAAGATTACCGATTATAGCATTACTTGTAATAGCAAAAAAAAAGAAAAAGAACTAGCCTGAATGTTCCTCAATAGGGTACTAGTTAGGTAAGTATAGGTACATACATAAAATAAAATATAATGCAATTAAAAATAAATTAAGGAAGAGCAAGGGAGCATCCTATGTATGAGTGTGGAATAATCTTCAAGATTATGAAGTGAAAAAAGCAAGATTCAGATAGTAGTACAGTTCAGTATGTGATCATTTGTATAAAAAGTGGGTAAACAGAATATTCCCAGGGGATACATAAGAAACTTAGCATTGGCTGCCTTTAGAGAAGAGAATCTGTCGGCTGAAGGAGAGGGTGAGAGGGAGAATTTTCACTGAATCCCCTTTTATAACTTTTAAATTTTGAACCATGTGGATATATAACCTAAGTCAAAAAATAAAATTAAAAATTGATGGAGCAAAAACAAACAGATGATAGACAGAAAAGGAGAAAAGAAAGGAGGGGGTAAAAGAGAGAGAGAGAGATATACGTACATATATACACGCATGCATATAGAGAAATGTGGACTGCTCTAATCTGAGCTATCACCCTGGCTCACCATTACTGACTTCTTTTTGCTTTCTCCTCTTTTCCTCATCCAGTCTACAAACCAGACTTAAATTCCCACATGCTCCATGATTGAAGAAAATACAAAAGGAAAAACTGAATTTCAGCTTTTAAATAGAAATACATCCTCCAAGATCCCAAAAAGCATTCCCCAGCCCTGAGCCAAATATCCGCCTTTCCACAGCACCCAAACCATTTTTACTTGGAAACGAAACTAACATTTATTGAATATGTCCCACCCGGGCCCTGAGCTTCTTGATCTTTGTCTCATTCAATCCTTGCCAACTCTGGGAGATAGATAGGCTGATTGGGAAATTGAAGTTCAAGAGGATGAATGGGCTCACCTACCTAGTA